GTTTTGGCTTTTTTATAATTTGGGCTAGTCTATTGTGTTTTGTGGCTTAACCAGTTATCCATAAGTATTCTTCACTTTGATCTAACACGAAGATGACTTTATTTATCGTCATTTCACTTTTTGTCGGGACAAGAGGCCAAAATTAGATGTCTACAGATAAGAATTTGTAGCTGATGATGTCAAAGGAGCTACCCGTGTCAATAAAGATACGACCAACTACTTTGTTAGCGACCTTACATTCAATGATAACCAGGTCGTCATGCGGCCGACAAACTTTGCCCCAGTCTTGTTAAGTGATGAAGATCTCTGGGAAGATGCTGCTAGCACACGCTTACCCCTCATCAACAACATTGACCATCTTTTTCAGATGGTCCTTGGTGCCCTAAATTGTCAGGAAACCTCCCACGAATTTAGCTGATATGGTGTAGATAAGCTCTTTGTCACTGTCCGAACTACTAGTAGGTTGGGTAGTGTTCTAGGAAGACTGCCCAAGATCCATCCTGAGAGTCACTTTGGAATTCAAGATGTATGATTTCAGCACTCCCTTGTCAGCCAGATAGCTCAACATCCGCTTGACGCTATAAAAGTCGTTGGTGTCATGGACGACATCCTCATAGAATTGGCAGTACTTATTTTTGTCCCAATTTTTGGCGAAAGCTTTCATTGCAGCCGACTTCTAAATGGACATCCGGTCCTTGATCTCCATGCGGATAGAGTAGCAGTCCTTATTAAACTCGTACTTGGGGGCGTACGGTTTAAATCCTTTCTTTTTCTTCTGGGATGGCTGTTATGAATCGACAACCTCCCAGACTTCTTTTCTTTTCTTGCTCTCTTCAACTATAAGAGCCTGCAGAGCAGGCCGACTCTCCTTTTGTTTCTAAGACTTCCTGGAGTCTGACTTATTGCTGGGCGAGCAAAGGTCGGCGCTTGTATAAAGCTTTCCGCCTCCATCATCGCCTCTTAGAGGGTGAAAAGCCTTTTCCTAACGAGGTCAAACTTAAAGGTTGACCCGTCCTTCAGACCCTTGAAAAAGTCTATGTAGGCAACCTTGTAAAACATTCCTTAAATTTGGATTCTCACTAGATTGAACCGACGTAGAAGCGAAATCCTTCTCTCTCTCCCTACCGGATGGTGCTCAAGTTGAGACTTGTTTTCTTGGCAGGGATGTTCATCAAGAAGTTGGAAGAAAACAAGAAGGCAAGCCTCTTGAAGCTGTCAATACATCCGGCTAGCAAGTTGTCAAACCTTTGTTGGGCTATTCCCTTCAATGTAGCCGGGAAACATCTGCATCCAGGTGGCATCATCCTACCCATGTAGATACAAGAGGTTGATGTAGGCCATGAGGTGATCTTCAGGATTGGTGGTACCGTCGTAGGTACCAACCAAGACATCCTTAACCTTGGTCGGTTCTGGCGCCTCTTTTATCCCCTTGGTGAACGCAGAAGGTTATTCACCAAGTTTTAGCGACCGGAGCTGCCAGTCCAAAGGTTGGAAATTACATGTCGCGCGGCCTCTAAAGAGGGTCGGCTGCATGTAAGGTGGGGCATACTGCCAATATGGCATGTGAGGAACATACGGGGCTAATCTAATCATCTAAGGGCCTGTATGGACGGACTGGCTGCTTGACAGGCTCTCATGAGCTTTGTGGGAATACCTTGCCGACTTATTCTTAAAGCTGTCTAGGAAGCTCGACGTAGAAGGCGACTCATATAGCTGATGATTTCTCTTATGCTCTATGATATGTCGAGCATCAAAAAATGATTTCTTGCTTCCATACGGCTAGACTTTTCGGATGTTTTTCCTTGTACCCGTCTGGGGCAGAAGGACTTTGGACCAGTCTATTGCGGTCGAGGCCTTCTCCTTTGGGTGTGGAGTAGGTTGCCTGTCCCTGACTGGCTTTCTCCTCTCAGCATGAGGAGAATTCTTGGCTGACTGACCCTTGCAGCCATCCGTCTTTTTGTTGATCAGTTCCCTGATCTCCCCCTTGAAACTAGTCATGAATTTCATGAGTTCGTCTTTAGTGATAGGAACATGTCCTCTCGCAGACTGGGATTCCCTAGTCGGTTGTCTGGAGGGTTTACTTGTACCTGCCTGGTTGTCACCCCGTTCGAGTTGATCCCTAGGATGGATACGTTTATAGATGAGTGACCCATCAGAGGCCTCATGGGTTTCAACTTCTATGTCATTTTATGTGTCATCACTTGTAGAAAAATTGTCATTCATAACGGGCTATTTGTAACGGGCAATGCTATGCCCGTTACATTAAATATATTTGTAACGGGTAAAAGTCCATTACAAATATATAATATTCGTAACGGGAAAAATATTGTTTATTACAAATACTATATTATATGTAGCGATTACCATGTGCCCGTTACGAATACTAATTTATTTGTAACTGACATATTGTGCCCGTTACAAATAAATTAGTATCTGTAACGGGCACATGGCCCGATACAAAAGTTTGGTTCAACTAATGAGAGGAGCCCATTAGTTTTATTAGGGTTTCGCTCTCCAGCCGCCAACCCCCCCTCCCCACTTTGTTCTCTCTCCTCTTTTATTCTCACTCTTTCTCTCTCTTCTCCCCACTGATCCTCACTTTATTCACTAATGTCGTCCTGTATGATGCTTTTAAAATATTTTAGATCCTTCTGAAAATGCACTCCGAGCTTGATGGGTACAGAATCGTGTTTGTATTTTTCATGCTTTTTTCGATTTACAAACAACGAAGGTAGTGAATGTGTTTTGATGGGTAATTTTAGTCTAACATTTTTTTAAATTGTTGTTATTTGGGTAGAATTCTTGGTTTATAATCGTTTTTCTTAGTTATTTATTTTGAGTATATAGATTTGTTTTTGGCTTTTAATTTAGGGTTTATTTGCATTATGTTCTTTGTTTATGAGAGTAGTTTGATCTTTCAACACTACCACAAAATAAGCTTTATAGAACGCCTAAATAGGCAAAATAGAACGCCTAAAATAGGCAAAATAGAACGCCTTAGAGGCGTTCTTCAACTATGGTGCCGTATAAAGTTTATAAGACGACTTCTGGAGGCGTTCTTTATTCAATACAATATAGAACACCTTACTTAGATAACAGCTTCTAATTATTCCTAAAGAATACCTATCCAACTTGAGACTTCTGTATTATGCGTTACTTTTGCCACTTTTTGTAGTAGTGCAATTTAATGATTGTAGGGGAGCAAACCTGAGTACCTTGTAGTCTCCGCCACCACTACCTCGGCAGTTGCCGCCACCACTACCACCATTTTATGCGAATAAAGGTGTGGAGTAGGGGAGTAGACTCAACGGCAGACGACATAATCAGGGGGCGTAGAATTCAAGTGCGTGAGTAGATCTATGTTCGTTCATTCAAAATTTATAAATCTGTAGTTGTTCTTTCGAATTTTGAGGAACTATGCATGTTGGCTATTATTAAAAGCACTGAAATTGTATTGTGATTGTATCATATCTTCCATTTTTTTTCAATTTTTTTGGGTCTTTTTATTCGAAGTTTCGTCGTCTCAAAACTCATCTCAAATTTTTGTATTTGATATTTTTTATATTATTTTGTCTTTATTTAATATTGGTTTTGATACTTATTTTACTTTTTCAAATTTGTCTTGATTTTTTGGATTATCAAACGCATGAAATCAAATGATTTGATTGTTAAGGCATGTTGACTAACAGAAATCTAACAATAGTTATGAAAGTCTAACCTCAAGAAATCGAAGCTGTTGGACCAAGTTTTTATTTCAGCTCATTGTAAAACTTAATTAATTAATATGCAATACAACTTTGCAAGTTCATATCAATCCAGAAATGAAATAAAGAAAACACAAGTTTTCTACAAATAGTTGGGATACCATGAAAGTTTGATATTTTGTCTTGAATTTTTAGCTGATGTTTTGTTTGATAAAGTAACTCTTAGTTTTAGTTGAATAAAGCTAAACATTCTGTCCAAAAAGTAAGATTTTTTTGTAGTTCTGAATTGGGATTTTAAGTTCAAAATATGATATTAAAATTATTTCAATGAGTTAGTTTCAATTTATATATTGTATATATAGTTTTCAGATCTGGGAATTTTCATTGCTATTAATTGTTTAATACTTGTAAGCAATATGGATTTTTCCCGTCATATAACTTGAGAATTTTCATTCCTTCTACTTACAAGTTTTATCTTCTTTGTTTGATTTAGGAATCATCCTTGCATTCAAGAAGGGAACCAATTCAAAGACATTAAGGGATGTAGAGTTTAAGATTGATGACAAGGAAAATTATATCAAGTTCCAACAACTCTAAGAAATGGTGGAAGATGTAAATCATTCAATAGTAATTTGGAGGAATATCATTTAAATCTTATATTAGTCTTAAATAAACTTGTTTTTGTTGTGAAATAAAGGGGAAATATAAGAGTTTGAGAGAGAATTAATCTATGTGTGTTTATTCCATAGAGTAGGGGATATATATATATATACAGATACAATGTTAGGGTTTGCTTTGAGAATGATAAACCCTAAATCTAGAATGTTCCGGAGAGTACAAGAGTATATAGACATCCACAAATATTTCATAACACTCCTCCTTGGATGTCTATTATCGAAGACTGTGCCTCATTAAAACCTTAATAGGAAAACTTTGTGGTATAAAAACCTAATGAAGGAAAAAGAGTACAACAAATATATATAAAAAAATAAATGTTATTGTATAAATGTTATTGTATAATACATTGTTGGATGCGTTAGAACATATACTTTCATGATATCAATTTTCCTATAATAATCAATGTCGTGTCTCGGCAAGCGTGTTTGGTCAAAGTGTAACACTTAAAAAAACACGGAGTATTAAATATTTAAGCATGACTCAAGAATCACAGCGTAAAACATATTTAAACATTGTTGGCATCTATTTAGGGGCGCTCCATTACCAATAACTCAATGAGGATGATCTTAGGCTCTTAGCAATCAAAAGCAAGTGGTAGAATGAACAAAAGAGAGAATATTAATTTTAACAGATGAATATAATAAGAATTTTAGAAAAGGAAGGTAGTAAGCAGAAGAGTTGAAAGCTTTTCCAATATATACCATGGGTAGCAGTAAACCTTTAACTGGTTATACGGATCACAATACTTTTACTCTTATGGAGAAAGGCATGAACATATCTACTGAAGGGAGTTGTAAAATAATATCAAAACAACTGAAATTCCGATTATGACCGGAAAGGCTGAGACGAGGTATAATGCTCCATATCCCTGAAATCCAATAAACCATTTTGTTAGGACACGGTTAGCTGCTGAAATGGCATATCATCGATCTGAGTATGCTGAAGAAACCTATTAATGCATTTGTTTGATGATTTAAGCATTCTTGATTAGCTGGGATTTGTGGATGTTATAGCTCAACAACATATTTCCTATTCTATACCAAATTTTAGGCGTCCCGTTCACAACTGTGAAATGAGTGTCCTAGTAGTCTATCAGCAGTAAAAAATCTTTCATTTTATATTTACCCAGATCAACATTCTCACCGCTTTTTTTCTTGGTCTAGAGCTATATCATTGCATGGAGCTCAGCTACCCTAGAAAACCAACCATTTCAAAAATACAGGCATCAAATAATGACAAAAGATGAAAAAATGGTTAAAGCGTTCTCAATGAAGATAGAACATAAACTTACTACAACTGGAGGTACATCAGTATCATCAGAATTTTCGGCTGTCGCAATCTCAGCTGCTGAATCCCAGTCCATGTTCAGCCTCTTTGCAGCGATTACAGGATCAATACCTGTATCAGTTGCTTTTGCGTAGAGGGATTTGTTCTTTGTCGTCTTCTTAGAAGGTTCAGCCTATCATAAAAAAAGAGCGATAAGGAACCTTGATGAGAAGCTGATGCCTTTAAAAGACCAATTGATTCAAGGAAACATATGTAAACCGTGATTTAGAAGAGTGAGTGGGGTCCTTTCTCAATTCCTTGAACATGTTTGGTTAAACCCAAAAACAAAACAATAAGCCATAGCTGTCAATGACTCATTATGATCTAGATTGATAGATACAGAGCCAAAGTACTCCAATATCTAACGAAGTCCTCTTGCTCCAATCTCTAATGACCTACAGACCCCGTCCAAGCGCTGCGTACAGAGAAAAGGTTTGGACTTCAGACAAGTTGATCATAGGTCCCCCTCGATCATATTTGCTACAAATATTTGGGTAGGTCTCTAAAGTAGGTGTGCAGTTAACCTAATTCTATATAATTTTCCAGCAAGTTCTTTGATGCATCAGGTTAAGGATCAAACCTTTTCAATCTAAACATCAATTCACGGAGAGTTCCAAGTAGTATTAAAGACGAGATTATCAATTTTTTTTTTAGTTCCAAGAGTTGATATCACTCAGCCACTGCATAGGTATTTGTGATCTCCCTCAGCTGAAATAGATTGTCAATGACCCAGTATCTTACTTTTTTTTTTTTGACCCATTATCACACTTAAGCTAAACTAATATGTACTTTACTAATGTTAGTATGTAGAACTCAGCTCATCAAATCCGGTTCTTGCACAAGGATATAAATTTTTCATAGGAAAGTGAGCAAAAATGGTGGATGTCACCTAAAGACAGCATTAAGCTGAAATAAGCTATGCCAGCCTTAAGCTGGAGGCAAGATGAATGTGATACTGTTGGGGACACAGAATAGGTTGCACCTATGTATTGATCTGATTTATTGCTAATAAGAAAGAAAAGCGATATAGCAGATCAGTGCACAGGACCCCACTAATTTTCAATCTGAAATAAAGAGAGCAATCTAAAGAGGAAAGGGTGTTTTTTTTTTTTGTTGGCGCGCAAAAAAGCCAATCGAAGTTATTTGTTGTGATCTCAAACTTGAAACAGAGAACAAAATGTAAGGAAAATAGAGAATAGAACAAATGAGACGATCCCTCATTTGCTTTGGTTTATTCAACTGAAGTAACTATCTCTCTTAAGTAGCTTGACCATCATCATTCTCTAGGGTTAAGCAAATTTTATAAAGTATCCAGCTTACCATATTCAGGTTATTAATACCTTGACCATCTTTCTCTAATGTTAAGCAAGATAATTCTCCAATATTACAGGGTCAAAATTCAGCCATGGAAACATCATTATATTCAAGGATTTTCATTCTTAATATTCAAGTACAGCTAATGGGGGGAAAAAAAAAAATTGACCGTAAGCTTGTTAATCTTCTAAATAAGTACAGCCTCCGTTAAATATTAGTTGCAACATGGGGTATTTGTGAGATATAAAAAAATTTCAAAGTTGCAATTAATATTTAACGGAGTTAGTATATATTGAAGATGATAATGGACCTTTATCATGGACTATTTCGTTTCATCTATGCCTCAATTTAAGCTTCCTAATTCACTGTGTAGGGTTTTACGTAACATGCCAACATTAACACTTCCAGAGGGACTACTAATTATTCGGATTTGAGAAGAAATGAAATTGCAGCTCATCCAATCTTGTCTAAATAATAAAAAAGCTAACAGCACAGTTCTGTACGTGAGAATACAACTATAGATAAACAGTACATATCAAACTCATATGGAGCAAAACATTAATCTAAAACCAGCAATTTTAAATTTAACTAATGAAGATTGAAAATAGTTGGACAAAAATAAAATCTAGAGTTAAATATGACAATACCTCCAAATTTGGCCAGCTAGTCATCTCCACTGCAAGCATACGCAAGGCAACACGATCTCGTGGAATTTTTCCATCATTTACCTGAATAGATATGGTTCAAACAATAATTTTGCTTCTCGTTCCAAATTCATCAGCTAACACAGAACTTAATCGTGTGGAAACATCTTATTTCAACTTTTATTGACATATAGAGCAAATAAATTATCTTGATGAACACAAAAAAATAAAAAAATAAAAATAAAAAAAATTGAAGTACAAACATTCCTAGACTTTCATTTCTCTCCTAATAATTTGGGCACCTGTTATTCATTTCAGTCTGCCATTTATTTTATCATGTCAATTTTCGCTGGATCAATCGGATACTTAAACATCACAGCAAGCCTATTGAATATGAATTTGTACAATATCTTGATCCTAAACTCACAAAAATATTGGGTCACAGAAATGACACATCACAGGTGTTACTTTTACATAACATTTCGCACCTACAGAGGCATGAATTGACAAATTGACAAATTGAAAATTTGTAATTTGTATTTTTAAGTACATTCTTCACATAATGACTTAGAGTTGCTCAAGGGCTCAGTCAATAAAAATGGAACATAGTGTCCGAGTTTGATATGATGAACATGCATATGCATCAAAGGCTTACCTAATCCATATCTATATCAACCCAGTTGTGTATGCATTTCAACCCACCATCTTCACCAGGCCACCCCTAGCATCAAAGGCCCCCCAACTCTATAACTCATAATTCCAATTATGTGTATGCACCCCCCACCCCCCCTGCCCTAAAATATAATTAAATTAAATCTGCATGCCCCACAAGAAAAATCAGTGAGGCTTCATGGTACATGCATTTTGAAAATGAATTTCAAAGTAAAAAAAAAATTAAGGAAGATGAGAAGATAAGATATATTAATAGCTTTAATAGTTAAAAATAGTTTGAGATCAACAATCTAACACAGAACGACGAAGGGCATCCTGAATGTCATAATCAGTAAACACGACAAATTCAGAATTCTCGAATAAATTAACATAGGCATGTACAGAGAAATCACTAATACACCAAGATAGGTGAAGGATATACACTCACTTCTTCTAAAGCAGCAACTAAATCCTCCCTTGTTGGTCCATCAGAATCATCAATTCCAATCAACCTTCGCCTCTCAACTTCTCTAGGGTCCTCAATCATAATAGTCAGCTTGACCTACAAAATTAGACAAAGTAAACTCTGATTAAGGCATTCCACTCACGTCATGAAGTTAAGAATGATAGCCTTAACATAGCTTCAACAAATTGGCATTAAAAAGAAATACATCCGCAATTCAGCAGCAATAAGTTCCACGCAAGTACACATTATCATGGCATACATAAATATTCTTACTTTGCTTAATTCATAATGTATATGCTAAAGATAAAAGTAGTACAAATCATATAGGATAACAAGAAAATGGAATGTGAATAATTGGGAATATAATCTCCAAAATTCTTGCCTCCTATGCTATAAAAAGCTTAAACTTACATGACCATATCACCATCCACCAATTACATCACCATGCTGCTGATTATCGACTTATTTCACAGATTTTAGAGCATCTTTATCGGTGAACCCAAATAAATGGTTCATGGGTCACTATCACCATTTCTCTCTCATCCACATCAAACCAACAAACCATTTACAATATTCACTCTTAACAATGAACACTAAACAATGGTTCATCATCAATACTCCCTACCCCACCTTATTTTATTTTTGTAAATATAATCTTTTTTGTTTCATAATTATAATTTATTAACCCGATGTCAATGTAATTAATTGACGTATTTAATATTTTAATCGTGATTACTAATTAAGAAATTATCGCATTTTTTTATCAGCTTTTTAAAAAAACTAATTCTTGTGATTAATATTTTTTAAACAATAACGCAGCTAATTTTAATTAACAAAAATAAAAAAAAGAGGTACAAATCGTGATTACAGTTCTACAACTATAATCTAGTACATTTTATTTTAAAAAAAAAAAACAACTACACATCATTTTGTAAGATGTCCTTAGGGATAACCATTTGTTGTAAACCTAGTTGCCTAAGTTTTCGTTGTTACCAAATTTATTCCATATATGTTCGACCAAGTCGTTTTTTTAGCTGCAAATGAGTCTGTTGATCCTCAATCTCTGTTCTACGAGACAAGTATAAGCCGATATCCACAATACGATCAGTACGGTACTCGGTAGTGTCCTCATTAGCGTTGCCTCCAGCATTCATAAACTCATTGGTATTAACGTTATTTTGATACGTCTCTCGTTCATCTTCAACGATCATATTATGTATTATGATGCAGGCGAGCATGATATTGTGGAGTATGTCGGTATCCCACGCCAAAGACGGCTTTTTAATAATGGCAAAACGAGCTTGAAGGATCATATTTTGACCCAAATTTTTTTTCTTCTTTCTATTTGTTTTGGGGTTGGTATTAGCATCCATAATTATAATTTATATTTGGAAAAAATAAAAATTTAATAATAATAATAATAATAACGACAATAATAATAAAAATAATAATAATAACGATAATAATAATAAAGGAAATAATAATAATAACGATAATAATAATAATAATAATAATAATAATAATAATATTAATAATAATAATATTGGTAATTATAGAGGGGATTTTTGAAGAGAAAAATATAGTAGAAAGAAATGGATTTTCAAAGTTGAAGAAAGTATAGCAATATGGGTGTCTATTTATAGAGGGGAAAAAAATAGAGCCGTTGGTAATTTTTTTTTTTTTGATTTGTGTTTTGTAAAATATATCCGTTGCAAAATTACAACGGATTTATTTAAAACAGTGACACGTGTCAAGCAGAGGCTGGGCCAAGTGGCGCGCTCCCAGTCGCTGCTTTCTATTTTTTTTCCTGAAAAAAAAATAAAAATGGGTGGGGTCCACAATCCATAAATTTGTCCAAATGCTTGCAGCAGCAATCGATCCCACAACCATTCACTATGAACAATTATAGAGATCACCATTAAGCCACCCATTCACTTGTTCACTCATTGTGAACTATTTTTTTGTTCACCCTTAAGGCTGCCCTTAGGGACTAACTTAGTAATCAACTTTGGGGGTTTGGGACATTATATATGATGGAGGCCAAAAAGTTTTACTTTTTAAGGTGACCCTTCAGTACTGTTTATTAAATCTGGTGCCCTCATTACATTTAACCTTACCTTAATCATAAAATTCACTAATATACCCCTAGTTAAAATCCATATTGAACAATTTTTACCACCACTCTTAACTACCCACAGGCCACACTCCTTCATTAGCTCAACCGGCCTAACCTTTTTTTTTTAAAAGACACTGGCCTACCTTAAGCACCCAGCCATTGGCAACTACCACTTGACACCCAAAACCACCATGCAATCACCTCCAAAGCTTTCTTGTCAGCCAGGTTATACTTCACCCAAAATCCAAGGAAATCGTTATAGAGAAGAAATGCAAAATTGTGGGATTGGGTAGTGCTTTAATGGCATAAGTGGCGGTTTGGTTAGTGGTTTTGCAACTTAGGTTGTCGTTTTGGTGGTGAGGCTAGGATTTCGGAGCTTAGGCATTTGATTCATTGATTTCAAAGTAGTTTTTTGGTGGTTTCGAGGCTTATGTAGTGATTTTAGGTAGGTCTGCATGGTGGTTGTTGCTCTAATTGGTGGGTTGGTAGTGGTAAAAATTGGTATAGATGGGAAAATCAATTGATGTGAATCAAGAGAAAAATTCTTTTGATGAGCCAAATACATTGATTTTATGTCCAATTGGGTTTGATATTGGAGGGAAAGACCATAATTGGTTAGCTTGCTTGACGTGGAAAGAAGATATCTTGAAAGGAAGCAAAAATTACACACTTAACTACTGGCGAGGATATTCACGCGCCAAGATAGACTCCACTGTCGACTCCCTACCACCGCGTGAACCCAGCCACGTCTTGGCTGGCGTGTGTCACTCCTAGTCACGGTTCAAAAATGTGGCAGTATCATAACGTATCGGGCGAGTTATAGCGGTTTTCCATTTTATCGAACCGATATTTAGCAATTTGATGCGGGTTATGAAAATACACCGCATTTTGGACCAAATCGGCCGATACACCAATATAACTATGACTACCCAAAAAATCGTATAATTTCGTTCCATTGAAAAATAGCGAGAAAAGGAAATAGAAAGAGGAGAGAGAGAGAGCGGGAGTGAGCTGTCAAATAGGTAAGGTTTGGAAAGTGGGTATTGGACAAGTGTCATTTTATATACCATTACTTTTTGTTTTTGACTTTTTGACTACTCCAATAAATTAACAAGTTAGTTTTCTTTTAGTCTTTATTTATGTGTTACCTATTACGTACAGTAAAAGACAATTTATTTTAGAGGGATTGAATTAATAATTGAAAATAATTAAAATAATACTAATTTTTAGTATTAGAAAATGATTAAAAAATTCATTTTTAAAATTTATGACTTATAAATTGATAAAACATATAAAATTATAAAACTAAAATCCAGTCTCCACATCGCGATCACCGCATCAATTCCGTTACCGCTACACGTTACCGTTATCGCGATCGCAACCGTGTCCAAAATCGCATTTTCAAACCATGCTCCTAGTGCCGTGTGTCATTGCCGGCAACGCCAAGTATAGTCCCTCATTTATGTTTTAATGTTAGTTTCTTCAAGAATTTTGTTTACAAGTTGTTACCTTTCATTATAAAGGATTTTTCTTATTTTTAACTCTTAGGATAGAGTCATAGAATAAAAATGTGGTATCGATCGCAATCGCGGAAACGATCGCGGTATCACGGTAACTGAATTGATGCGTTAGTTGCGGGCTAGCTTGCGGTTGTAGCGGCAGAATTTTGTTTAAAATTTATTTAAACTAAAAACTATATTTTAGGATTTTATTTTATTTTATATTTATATTTTATAATTAATGAATATAGTTTAAACTTTTTAGCCTAAATAACAGTCGAATTTCACTAAAAATAAATTAAAAGAACACAGCTGTACAAAGTAAAGTTAAATACCTATTCAACAACAACAACAAACAAAAACAGAAACAGAAAAAAAAAAAAAAAAAAAAAAAAAAGTAAAGTTAAAAACTTGGCTCAAGTACATCCACATGGGGATATTTAGTTTTTTTTAAAAAAAAAAATAACCTGCCCCACTATCCCCACCTACCCCCACTTATGAATTTTTTAAAATAAAAGAAGTCAGATTTTTTTTTCTTTCTCCTATTCAAGTTCAGAAAAGAACTCTTTTGATTATAATGGAGGTTTCTTCATTGTTTTATCATTTTTTTTCTCCTTTCATTCAATTTTTTTTTTTTTTTGGTGAAAACGAGGGGCAAGCCCCAAAGAGAAAACAATCCTTTCATTCTTTACAAAGCAAGAAATTCATTGGAGATTAACGAGTTGTGAAATAAAATCGATCAATGCGCGCGAAATTTACTTTGTATCAGTTGAATCGGCTAAAATCTCGATGTTTTTAAAAACACTGTGTCAAAGCGGCAAACTCGCAGCGGTAAGCTTGAAATATGGTACATACCGGCCGAATCGCGACGTATCGGCCGCATTTTTATACAATGAATAGACTATAATTTCTCTTATTTATTTAAAGTAGATAAACTTCGTAAGGTCGTTAGGGAAGTTGTTAAGAAGATAGAGTTTGTTTTACGATTCGTTCCAAGAGTTGGTCAAATTTCAAGTCATATCCGTTCGTTTGTGTTCAATCTTCAACAAACTCTTCAAAATTGGATCTTTATTTCAAGATTGTGGGTTTTCTAAAAACTTGATTGAAGAAGTAATTAGGATACAGTGATATACATCATCAATATTCATGGATTGGTTAGTAATTAGATTTACACAATCACCCACAAATTACGAGTTAGCCACAAATTAAGCATATAAGCAACATGGTGCAATATACAGTTGCTTTAAGATCAATTTAGAAAGGAAAGCCTTTTGGTTTCCACAATGTAGAGATTCTCACAACATGAGCTCACCATGTAAAATATGTTTATCTTTTCAGTATTTTATTTTTTTTTTTTTAAAAAAAAAAAAAAAACATTAATGTAAACAAGTGGATAAACAACATAAGCTTCAAATTGTGAATTGATTTTGTTTTGTTTTGTTATTGTCCTGTAATTAACTTTTATTTGGTTTTACAAGTAA